TTATTTTGGTGCACAACACCCATTTTTTTTACTTTAAATGAGACTGGAGTTAGGAAGGAGGCAGATCGAGGAAACCAGCCTCACCTGCAAAATGCATCATCACGCCCCTTACGTTGTCTGTTTGAAGCCCCACCTGCCGGAAGCAGCACCCGGTACGAGCGGTCTTCTGAGCTGGTGGGTGATTGTGGGACTTTATCCAAGCTTCACGTACAAGAAAGGGTGATCCAAGGCATGCAGCAGTTATTTTAATTGTGAATAAAGTGTTATTTACAGCGTCACGTCTCTACACTATTCATTGGAAGTGCATACATTTAGAGCAGGCTTCACTGCTCTGTGTTTGTGAGTTCTCTCCCCTTACTCTTATACCAGTGTACACTGTTTTATCAGTACTACTTAGTCTATTATATGTTTTTCTATTATATATATATATATATATATATATATATATATGGGATATTTGAAAACGAGAGAAATCTCAATGTATCCATCCTGGTAAAATATTTTATAATTAAATAATATTTATTGAAGCATTGTGGGCATGTAAGTAAAGTGTGTTTCACTTTACACTTGAGCACTATTTGCAATATTTTTCTCAATATATTTTTTGCACTAGCACTTTTGTCTGTATTACTAATATAAGCACATTGTAATGTTTGTTTTGCGATGTGCATTTTTTGTAATAATTCAGCACAGCACTTAAGCAGTGTGCAGCACATGAAGTGCATCTTGCCTTAAAGGCATTGCGCACCTTTTTTGTTTTTGGTTGTTAAAGTGTTTCTGAGCTTTAACACAGTGTAAGGTGCAGTTCTTGAGAAAAATATAGATATATATGTATTTGTGATTTTAGCGCCTTTTTTAAACTTGTTTTTGTATCTATTTATTTGATAGTCCTAACTGTAAAAGGCCACATCAGAAATAATAAAAACAACAAACAAAAAAAAGAATAGCTGAGTCAGTACTGTGGGGACTGAGACTGTGTACATACCCTTGACAAGTAAACATTTTTTTGTAGTGGGGGGGCATGGTTAAGTAGACAGGTTTATGTTGCAGCATTCTGCAAAACATTTATTTTTTTGTGTGCAAAAGAAGAGCACTAGGGATCATCGTCATTGAAGAAGATGGCGGCACATAGGAAAAAGAGCACCATTAAGAATCAAGCAAATAAAATGTGAAAACAGTGGGCAAGAGAGATATCAAACCGATTTGGAGCACACTGAGGACAGGAATTAGAGTGCAGCCAAAATATTGCTGCTTTGAGGGTAGAACATCCATGATCGAACATAATTTTAAGAGGTTAAAGGAACATGATAATCTCCATAATCACTGTAGTCCACTATAATAGTTATGGTGACCGGATTGCCCTGGGGTTCTCCAGAGTAAGTAGTTAAACTGTTAGAAACAATTTGCTAACTTACCTGTGCCCCCTGGGTGCCTGCATTGCTCCCAGCTTCTCCAGAAGTAAAAGCTGAATGTCTCCACTATGGAAAGAACAGCCTGATACAGGGCCATGCTTAATGTCTGAGACCGCTCATTGGCTCGTACTATATACCAGCTACCTATGTCTGCTCCTCCCTGTGCGCAACATTCTCCTCAGACTGTTAGGCTAATATGGAAGCTCTCGCTGAGTTTAAAGCAGTAAGGAACAGTGACAGCAGTGGGTGACCAAAACCAGATGGAACCTAACTATCAAGCATCCACAACATGGGAGGGCCTGCTGATTTTTTTTGGAGGAGTCCAGTTACCTTGTTAGGCTAATATGTCACAGAAAAAGATACACAATGTAGCATGGATCATGGTATGGTCATGCAGTATTTATGACATGCCAAGTAAGAAATTTTTTTTTCTAAAAGAAACTTTGATAATCAAGTAATTATTGTGAAATTCCACAAAAAAAGAAAGACACAATAGACCAGATGGACAGCACTGTCCTAGTTGAATAAGTAATAATCATGTTATTATGTGAAAGATTAATCTGTGTGTAGGTGAAAGCATGTGATCAGTAAATAATAATGTCCTTTCTAGAGAGTGAAGCTAGCATGCTGAACGATAAAGGAACACGGTGATTTTTTTTAAAAAAAATTTTTATGGTTTGTTTTTAACAATTTAATACATATACCCCAAAGAAAATATGCATGCATTTTTTCTGCACATTTTCTTTGGGCTATATTAAAAAAACTCTGCAGTCTTTGCAAACTCTCCCCCTTTCCCCCGGCGCAGGCCTTTAAGTCTTTGCCAGGGAATACACCAATCAGAGAAGCCACTGTGCTGGAGCAGAGATGGTCTTTCTCAATATAGCCCATTGAGAAGGGCGCAGGCGGTCATACTCAAGCTCTGTGGTTACCAACCCAGTCCTCAAGTACCTCGTACCAGTCCAGGATTTAGGGATTACCCAATTGTATGTAAGATGTTTTTAAAAAAAAAAAAAAAAAAAGCTTTAGACATAACAGGGTAATCCCTAAACCCTGGACTGGTAAGGGGTACTTGAGGACTGAGTTGGGAACCCCTGCGTGTCTAGCTGATTAACAGCCAGGGAAGTGTTTCTTCCCCCAATTATAAAAGTGCCAATTTCTACAGAGATTGGTACTTTTATCAACTGTCACAAATATCCATGCTGAAGTGCTTCAAGTGTCTGGAGTTTGTCATTTGTTGTTTTTCAATTTATCAATCAATCAGACAGCTGGGAACATTTTCTTCCACTTCAACCGAGCTAATGGAAGTAGCAGGCACACTATGTTGGAGAACGCCTGTTTGTGTCCTCCCCTGGCTGTGCATGTGCTTACAACAACTGCTGTCACCAGATCTACAGCTTTTACGAGCTACATTTGCACAAATCCCCAAAGAAAACATGCACAAACAAAATGCATACATGTTTTCGGTGAGGGTTTATCTATTAAACAGTGAAATTGTTTTGTTTGTTTTTTTTGTTGTTTTTTTATATTTTATTATCTGAGTAGGAACAAAACTGGGTGACTGCGAACAAAGTGCAAGGTTGTGTCAATGCAGAGACGTACCCAGGTTAGGTGGCACTCGGGGCAGTGATGTATTTTGCCCCCTCCCCTCCAAACTGTAGAACTGTTGTGTCTCACTATGCACTCCCTCAAACATTGTTTTGTTAGAAAAATTACACGCACATACTCACAATTATATACACACTCATTTATGTGCAGACATTCATATTCACACATACGGAAATTAGTATACACACACATTGACACACACACACATTGATACACAGACATATATATGCAAACACACACATGGAAACATATAAATACATACAGACTCATACACAAACACACAAGAGCAATACTTTTAAAAAGCCTTTCTTGATTTTGCTGTTTCAGTTGCTCAGTAGGTAAGACCCTAATTTTCTATTCTTATGAAAAAGAGTGAATTTAAAATGGTTTGGTTCAATTCGGTTCAACCTAATTTGGTTTGGTTCAATTCGGTTTGTAAAGAAATCTGAACCTTCCAAATTGGTTCTAATTTGTAACAAAACAATTTGTACATGTATATATTTTATGTGCTGTTTTAAATTGACCTGTCCACCCAGCATCTTGGTCCTAAATAGTTCAGACCCTTACACCAAATAAACTGGACAGCATTGCACTGGGAAACAATGATGGTGTACTTTCTTCACAACAATGTGCAAAATCCCTGACTACTGTAGTTATTTTGTTAAGCATTAGCATGTTTGTTTGCATGTTTAAACATTGTACAAATGCTGAATTAACCTGTTCTTCCACATTCCTTCTGTTTCTCACATCTTTTGTATATCTTTTGCTTAGATGAATAAATATATGATGTATTACACACACAAAAAAAGAAAACCAACACACAAATCAAATATGCTTTTTTATTTTAATTTTTTATTTATTTTTTATAAATTCTTTATTTTGAGAATTGTATAGTTTTATACGGGATATAGGGAAACAACAGTTCATAATATCCAGCATCAACCCACAGACCTCATTCATTAGCTTACGACGTCTCCTGAGTCTGAAGTCCCACTGTGCATGTATGGGCCGTCGGGCGAGGGTGCAGAGAAACGCTGTGCTGCACCTTTGGATCTGCGTAGACTATGGCAGAAGTCAGTGTTGCAACCGTAGAGTGAGGTCATCTGACACATAACTTATCTGAACCGTAGATGGAAAGCTCAACTGGAGCTAACATAAGAGGTAAAGCAAAAAAAAGAATAAATAAAAAAAAAAAAGTATGTAGTATACAGGTCTCTATGTGTCAGTGCATTGTCTCCCTTGTTCTAGGTGCTCGTAGTCTGTCAATGTGCGTGCATAAGTGGTGGAGCTGTGGTCAAAAATCTGGCGGTAAGAAGGTCCGGGGAACCAGGTGCTCCCCCTGGACCTCCCTCCCCCGCCCGCCGGTGCTACACTTCGCCCTTTATTTTTTATTTTAATGCAAAAAAAAATTATTTTGCTGTAGGTGACTGTTAAAAGATTAATGAGTAAAGCTTTAGGACTGATTTTGTATTTTCTTTCACTTATCGTGGTCTCTCCAAAACTTCTAGAAGAGGATAGCACTTAGCCTGAAGCCTATGTTGGTGCACACAACACAAACGCAAGAGTCTCCAATAAATGTATAGAAATTCAAATGATGTGGGCACACAGCAGCTTCTTTATATTAAAGCAGCTTTATCAGTTCAAGAGAAAAACAAGTAACAACATTTTGGTCTTTCTATGAGACCTTTGTCACGTTACCGTGGTCTCTTGACTTGTCCTATATGGCATTTTTCTTCTTTGTCCTATGTTGGATTTGATTCTCAAGCACTTGTCATTTATATCTGCTTTTTCTATATAATACATTTGTAGAAAATTACAGTATCTCAGCCACCTCTTTTCTTTTCTTCTTCTCTTGGGCTCCCAATCCCCCCAATCGCACTCACCAAATAACCCAGGTGCTCTGAAGCCAGGGCTGGCCAGGCCTCCCTTCCAAGATATGCAGAATAAATAACAGTTCAGGCATTCCAGGATAACAGAAATAGCAGTTTTATTGGGGCAAAAGCAGCAATGTTTTGTACCGGTTGACCTGGTACTGGTCTTTACCGGTAGGTCAAAACATTGCTGCTTTTGCCCCAATAAAGCTGCTATTCCTGTTATTCCGGAGTGCCTGAACCATTATTTATTCTGCATTTCTGTATTTTTTGCCTCATATTTTAGGGTGGAGAATCTTTTTTTTAAATTAAGGTGAGTGCAACCCAGTTGGATGAGTCTGACACTTAGTTCCAGTATACTTTGATATTATTATGTTTACCTTATTGAGTACAGTTTAGTGTACTCTTAAATGTTTAAGTAAAAAAAAAAAAAGAAGGAGAGCCTAGATGTAAATATGAGGCACGAATATGGGTAGAAACAAAATGGGGGGTAACCCCTAAATGGTGAATTTATATGAATACAAAAATGAAAAGAAAAAAACGAAAAGAAAACTCTTAAATGTTTACTCCAATCATTTAGAGGGGGTAGGGGAACTTATGAGCACTATGATGAAGGTCCCCCCTTCAATTTCCAGTAAAAGCTTAGTCACCATAGTCACATTGAATCCAGTGTGAAGGACGAAACTCCCAGTTGCTGACTAACACACTCCCTCCAATGTCACTAGGGGTAGAATAATCAAGGACTACTCATAGATAAGTCTGTGATTGGACAAATTTGCAGGCTCATGGAGCTTGCCTGTGCCTTGGCTCAGCAAGGGGAGATTTCTCCCACTACTTAAATGTGTTGGGAGGTGGATGGCATCCCACAGAGGGAGGGAGGGAGGGAGGGTAGGAGGAGTTAGGCGCTCTGATTATGACCTATTTTATGCACAAAATTCACATTTGCAGCCCAACTAGCCCCTGGCACACATTTACAAATGACTCAGTATGTGCAGTTTTCAAGCTGAAACACTGCACATACATATACCTACCACCATGACCACTTCAAATCACCGAAGTGGCCATGGTGGTTGGAATAACCCTTTAATTATGTATCTAAAACGTTTTATATCTGTATTGTTGTATGCTTGTACCTTTCTGCGCATACCTTTGTTTTCATTATACTTTTATAATTGTATCTTATTTATTTCACCTAAATATTTATTTTGGTGTACTTTGTTTTATTTGAATTTAATAACACTTTTCTAAAAATTAAGAAAATTACAAAATATAAAATGTGCATGGCTACACAGACAGTTTTGGCATGGGACATGTTGCTTCTGCATCAGTAATCCTTAAATTGATAGTTACTTAAAGGGACACTGTAGTCACTATAACCACTTTGTCTCTTTGAATTGGTTATAGTTGCACCATGTTTGTGCAGTATGCCACAAAATAAGAGTCCCTGGCCACCCACAGTCCAGCCCCTTCTGTATGTGTAGCTAAGGCAGAGATTACACACTTCCTTGTTGTCATACCCATTCATACCGTCAGTTGGAACTCTGACAGGTTAAAAGCAGTCAGCTGACACACTCGGCCAATCACAGCTGCCCATTGCCTCTCAGGGTAATACTTCCTTATTAGCCAAAGCAGCACAGAGGGGATAGACTGCCGAGGACTCTTGTTTAGCATTAAAACATTACAACATTAAAAACTGTTTAATGCTGAAATAAATGATGGTACCAGGGGACTCCAGACTCTATAACCAGTTTAATGAGATGAAGCAGATACAGTGCCTACGGTGTCCCTTTAATGCACTACTTGTCCAGGTCCTGTCAGGTTTGACTCAGTTTATCTTTCTCCTAAACTCAATAAATGTGTATTCTCTGGCACCAAGAGTCTACCCTTTCTTCAGATGTCTTAATGTGGAATCTGTACTTCTGTATCAAAATCAGTTTGTCCAATCTGGATCAAAGCAAAAGCTTGAGAGAGCCAGAGGTGGATGAACCCAGTGCCTCTTCAACCTTGAATTCTGAAGGCTGGTAATAATGAAAGTAATATACAATATTTGTAAATATTTGTTTTTGTAAATATCTTTTTATTTTATTATTTTAATAGAACATTTTTCACTTGAAAAATCAAAGGTAATATCGTGTGGTAACACGCAGGTCTCTGAAGCAGTATGACCTTCATGTCAAGATGTTGAGATACGGAGATCTCTCAGCTATTACAACAGAACCCGGAGACATGCAGGTCCTAACGCAAAAAAGGGCTTGGTGCCCCACATGACAGTGTGAGCTATAAGTAATCTGTTTCGTGTGTGTAATCAGTTCTTTGACTGAAAAAAGTGTGTTATAGCCATGCAGCCAACATGTTGTGGGGTTATTACAATTTGAGGTAGATAGGCCTTATGTATGTTGGTCTACATATATAAAGATATTCTATAATTTGTCCTTGCAATGCAGTGTCTGTGTAATGAAGCAGGTATTGTGTTTTCCAAGTGGTTTCCCCCCCAAATGTAGAAACTTGAACAAAATGTGAAACAGGTGAATAGACAATGATGGCAGTCTAGTGACTTTGTGTGAACATTGAAGTAAAAGAAAAGTAAGAAGTTGTGACCAATCGAAAGGTCATAGGTTACATGGTTATGTGACAGAGCCTACTCAATCAAGTGCTTTGGGTGGTGATGTCTCTAGGGTAGGTCATTACTACGTTGTTTGTCGTGCTGTAGTACCGTGCTCAGAGTCCCGATCGCTTACCTACCAGCAAGCATGGCGAATAAGAAAAACACAGACGGGTAGGTGTCGCCTCCCTCCCCCCCATCGGTTCAGTTTGTTGTTCAGTTTGTTGTTTCCCATGTCTGGCCATAGCAGGTGGGTTCTATTGTGCATGTATAAGGGTCTGCAAATCAGGGACTCCAGAGGTGAGGAGCCAGTTTGTCCAAATATCAAAGTATATCTAGGATCTACCCATGGCGGGGAAGATAAGTTCTTCTAGGGAGCAAAGTTCCTCCATACGTTGGAGCCAACATGTTAGAGGTGGAGGTGTGGTTTTCTTCCAGTGAAGGGGTATCAGACTACATTCAATATCCATATGGTCATAGACATTTTGTAGGCGGAGGTGCGGGTTTTGGTGTGATGCAACAGGAGGGAAAGCGGCTGGAAGGGGGGGCGGATCATCGGAAAATTTCTTTATGATCTCATAAATTGCGTTCCAAAAGGGGGGAACCAGAGAGCACTCCCACCAAATATGTAGGAGTGTGCCCCTCTCCAGTCTGCATCTCCAGCAGCTGTCATCAATGGATAGGTCAATCATGTGCATTAGTTCAGGTGTCTTATACCAGAGTGTAATTTATATGTGGTATATATTTTAGAGATTGTGCACTGTTGTGTCAGTTCGCAATTTTTTTGCCATTGAGGTGCTGTGAATTCCTCTCCCAAGCAAACTTCCCTCTTCCTTTTAAAGTTTGTTAGAGGCAAGCCCTTCCCGTATACCAGTGTGGAGTATAAAAGGATGTTCCTCAATATTTTAGCATATTCAGGTTAAAGGAAATTATGCAGTGTAGTGTTAATTGTAGGGACGTCAATTAAAATAAAACAAATCATAATATGTGATTGTGTGAGAGAATGTGAGTGTGTGTGTGTCTGTCAGTGAGTGCTGTGTGATTCTGTCTGTCAATGCATGTGTGTTTCTGTGTGTCAGTCAATGTGTGTCTGTCAGTGAGTATGTGTGTGTGTGTGTGTCTGTGAGTATGTGTGTCTATCAGCGTATGTCAAGTCAGTAAGTGTGTGTGTGTGTGTGTGTCTATCATTGAGTATGTGTGAGTATTGGTACTTTAAGTCTAACAATACAAGGCATGTTCATGGCCACACAAAATACAAATGTTACACCTTTGATTTTCACTCAATTTAGGATCTGTCTCAGAGATCTCCTAGCAATTCACTGTCCGCTCATAGCTTTCTGTTGGACAATAAAAGCACATTCATGCTAGACATGTGCATTTGTTATAGGGCGAATATGATTTCGTCCAAATTTTCTGACTTTTTCGCATTCGTTTACTATAACAAACTAAAGTCCTACTTACAAATTATATACGAAACGAAAGGGCAAATGACGAATGCATTGCTTTTTCGCTTCAGTTCTTTCATTTAATAGACTCCGTGCTGCGGAAGAATTAACCCCAACAGCACTGAGGAGAATAAAAAAAACCTGGATCTCCCTGCAGCAGGAGACTTAACCTGTGCGTGTACGAGTCTTGTGGTGGAACTTACCACCTATTCGTATGTTTTCCCCTTTCTTTTGTATGTTTTATCCTTTTTCTGTTCGGGAGTACTTCATACGAACAGAATCCTTTCGTCTCCAGAACGAGGACCAGCCATGTACCCCATTAGAAAGTTAACACCAGCAACTTAAGTGTGAAACCGCAAGGGAAGTAATTAATGAATGCATCCCCTGGGTGGCTGCCATTTTGTAATTTCTTGTCTCCCGAACGTGGGCAGCGGTACTTGGTTGTCGAGTGCCTGGTACTCTTTAAGGCTAGGCACTTGCACGAATGCCGGTAAAACTTAGACCGCTGCCCGTTCTATTTCCTGACCACCTATACGAACGACGTTCGGAAGATATGAACTACCGAACCGGGGAAGCATTCATATCCTGAAATTAAGAGTTTCCCTTCCATTGCGGGAGGATTTAACCTCCCTAATATTAATATACGGTTCATAGTGACCCCCATAGGTTTTAATGCGGGGGGGGGGGGCAGTGAGGAATTGTTAATATTTATTACAAGGAGGGAGCTGGTAGTGCTGCCGGCTCCCTCTTTGTTTTTGTTTTTTGCGCATGCGCAGTGTTATTTTATCCTAATGGACAAAAACTAATTATTTTTTTACTGAGTTTTGTCTGAAAAACAAATGTTTTATGGATGAAATTCGGAATTCAATTTTTATTTAGTACAAATTCATTCGTACGAAACGAAAATTTCACTGGTGCACATGTCTAATTCATCCCTATATAATATCAGGCTTTTGCATGCTCATTAGTTTCTTGCATATGCAAACAGCTACAATTGCTATCTTATTCTTATAATATAAAGTTTAAAGAAAATCAAAAATAGTAAAATGAGAACCAATTACACAAGTTACCAGAGGATATCTTCTCCAGTAAAGAGAATGTGGCCCTTCAATTAAAGGTACACTCCAAACCAGGGCCGGACTGGGAAAAAAATTTGGCCCGGGCATTTTTTTATTACAGCGGCCCACTAAGAAGGGGGCGGGGCAGAGAGGGTGTGTTTTGTCATCACTCATGACAAACACGCCCCCTCTCAAAGTGAGCATGTTGGTTCAATGCTCTTCCAGGGCAGACCATGCACAGAGCTCTGCTGAAGAAGCATGAGAAAAAAGCCCTGTATTTGTTCTGCGCAGTGCAAGCAAATTTAATAACATGCTTGCACTGTGTTTCCTTGCAACTTGTCTCTGGTGTCTCTATAAATGGATACCAGGAGACAAAAGGGCCAGGAAAGAGTATTGTACATGTGTTTGGAGCCTGCTTGGGGTATTGCGTGTGTGCAGAGTGAGCTGGTTGTGGTGTGGTATTGTGTAATAAGGTCGGTTTTAGTCATGTTGTGTTTGTGGTGTAATGTAATGCATATGTGGCTAGGGGCTTTAGAGAATGTGTGTTTAGGGGATGTAGCAAGTGTGTGTATACAGGCTATAGTGTGTGTGTGTGTGTAGGTGATGTAGTGTTTGTAGAGAGTGTGTGTTCAGGGAATGTAGTATGTGTTTGCTTACAAGGAATCTAGTGTGCGTATAGGGGATCCAGAGTGTGTGTGTTTGAATGACCCAGAATATGTATAGGAGATCTAGTGAGCGTGCGTATATAATGGATTCAGAGTGTATATAGGATCTAGTGTGTGTATGTGTGTAGATGATCCAGAGTTGGGTAGAGGATCTAGTGTGTGTCTGGAATGAAATATGTTTAGGGGTGCTGTGTGTGTGTGTGTGTGAGGGGTGTTGTGTGTATATTTATATGTGTATATATATTATATAAATATGTTTGGAAGTATTGTGTATGTGTGTGATGCAGTGTATCGGGGGGGTTGTGTGTGTATGTGAGGGGTGCAGTATGTGTGTGTGATGGATCCTGTGTGTGAGGTGTGGGTGCTGTGTGAGGGTGTTGTGTGTGTGTGTGGGTGCTGTGTATGATGTGTGTGAGAGTGTTGTGAGTGCTGAGTGTGAGTGCTGGGTGTTATGTGTTTGAGAGTGATGTGTGAGAGTGCTGAGTGCTGTGTGTGAGAGTGTTGTGTGTGATAGTGCTGTGTATGTGTGTGAGAGTGCTGTGTGAGAGTGCTGTGTGTGTTGTGTGTGAGAGTGCAGAGTGTGATGTGTGAGAGTGCAAAGTGTGATGTGTATAAATGTGTGTGTGGGGGGTAAATAAACAAATAAAAAACTATGGGGGTGGTAAATAAATAAATAAATAAATAAAAAACCTAGTAGGCATTAAATCCCCCCCTCCCTCTTACCTTTAGCCTGGGAGGTGGGGACAGGCACGTGGTAGCTGGGAGGGGGGACCGGCACACTCACATCATCCCTGGTGGTCCAGTGGTGAGCGAACTCTGGCCTGAGGGCTAGAGTTCACTCTCGCGAGATCGGCGCGTTGCCATGGCAACGCGCCAGATCTCGCGAGAGGAACCGGGCGGAGCTACGAGATAGAGCTCCGCCGGGTCCTCTCCCTCCCCAGCCGCAGGTCTGTTTAAATGGGCCGGTGAGGGAGATCTTTGATCTCCCCACCGGCCCTCCATGGCAAATAGCGGGGCCAGCGCTCGGATAGTGCCGGCCCTGCATAGACCGGCAGGGGAGATCCTGAGACCTCCCCTGCCGGCCTCGGCCCATGGACACCGCGGCCCACCGGGCATTTGCCCGGTGTACCCGATGGCTAGTCCGGGCCTGCTCCAAACCACTAAAGCACTTGTTGAAAAGCTTTATGTGTGAAGAGTGTGTCCTCTTTTTTCATTTTGCAAAAAGTGCAGATTTTAATAGAAATTGCCACTTTTAGAAATTAACCCGGTTACACCCCCTGGCTTTCAGGCAGACAACAGGTCCTGTTACTTCCTGGTCTGGTTGGTTCAGTAGAGCTAAACTCAAGAGGCAGAAATTTACCTGTCTTATATAGATTTCTCATTGAGCTGCATTACGAAGCCTGTAATGGGAGAGCCACAGAAAATCTGGGCGGAGTTTGAAGGGGAGGGCTTGCAAAGGCAACAGACAAGAGAATTGCAGGTTTTGTATGCTGTTTTTATATAAATCTCCAATGAAAAAATGCATAATTAAATTCATGCAAATTTTTATCAACTAAACAGTGATTTTTATTTATTTTGTATATGGGTAGTGGAGTGTCTCTTCAAGCATTATATCAGCAAATGAACAGGTTTACAATGCCTGAGCCCATTGACCAAATTAACTTAAATCTCTCAGTGTGAATATTGTAAGTGGCACTTGCCCTTGCTGAAGATAGCCTGGTACAGGTAAAGAACATCTGGACCCGGGGCACTACCGCCCAATCTCCCTCCTCAACACCGATCTGAAAATCATCACAAAAGTGCTCGCCAACCGCCTCAACGCATACCTGCCCCACATGATCCATCCCGACCAGGTCGGTTTTATCCTCAAAAAACAAGCGGCAGATAACATGAGGAGAGCATACAACACTATCTGGTATGCCCAGCATCGGCAAATCCCGGCGGTAGTGCTCTCATTGGACGCAGAGAAGGCTTTCGATCGCCTCCTCTGGCCCTACCTGTTTAGCGTGCTTAAATTCCAGGGATTCCCGGACCGATTCCCAAATATTCTCACCGCAATTTATGACCACCCAACGGGACGACTTTTGCTACCGAACACCGTCGCATGGACGTTTACTATTGCGAATGGGACCAGACAGGGCTGCCCCCTCTCCCCCCTCCTGTTTGCGATCTCTTTGGAACCGCTATTGCAGGCCATTCGAGTTCATCCGGGAATCCAGATACGGAGAGAGACATACACGGTGGCGGCATATGCGGACGATGTCCTTCTCACCCTAACGGACCCCATCCAATCCCTCCAGGCGATAGTAGCCCTCATCGCAGAATATTCCACCTTTTCGGGTTACAAAATTAACCTGTCAAAATCCACCTTGATGCCGGTAGCAATGAACCACACTCAAATTGCCCCCTTGAGACAACTATTCCCATTCCGCATCACCCCCACCTCCCTCACGTACCTGGGCATTAAACTAACCACCAACATGGGGGACTTCTATGACATAAACTACAAACCCCTGCTTACGACGGCGCACCAAGACCTACAAAGATGGGATAAACTAGGCGTGTCATGGCTGAGCAGAGTGGCCACAATCAAAATGAACTTGCTACCGAGGTTCCTCTACCTATTCCAAACACTGCCAATCCCAATTCAGCAACAGGACTTCAGACACCTGCAATCGGCCATAGACAGATTCGTCTGGAAATCCCGGAAACCTAGAATCCGCAGATCAACGATGTACGTTCCCAAGCTCATGGGGGAACTGGGGCTCCCCAACTTTCAACAATATTATCATGCAGCCCAATTGGCTCACATCCAGCACTGGCACCTACCACCAGGCACCAAAAGATGCGTGGATCTGGAGCATGATGTCATGGGCTGGGAACTCCCGTCTTCCTACATGTGGGTACCACCGAAGTACAGGCCCCTACCGCCTCCTGTCTCTCACCGGTGACACCGATATACCGGAATAAAATTTTCCCACCGGGCATGACAGCCAAACACTTCGCTGCATTCGACCAGAGACCCCTTACTTCACCTACCTGCTTTCAATTCTACAACATTATTTTCAGAAGACCTCTGAAGATGATGAATATGAAACAGATTGGCCGCAATTATTACAACCCTAATGATACTATTGACATCAAAACTCACCAACTATCTATATGGCCAGGTTTCACCACCTCCATTCTACAGTATGAAACGAGTATAATGTTGTGTATTGATGTGAGCCATAAAGTTCTAAGAAATGAAACTGTTCTGGATATTATGTACCACTTGTATGGAAAAGTTGGAGCAAATCACTTGTGTAATGCATGTAGCAAGGAATTCATCGGCCAGATTGTTCTCACAAAGTACAATAGCAAGACTTACCGTGTTGATGATATCAAATGGGATTTCTCACCAGAGTCAAAATTTAAAACAGCAAACAGAAGTGAAATAGGCTACATTGAATACTACAGAACACAATACAATAAGGAGATTACAGACCAAATACAGCCATCTGTGATTCACAATCCCAAAAAGTCCAAGACCCTACTTGGTGCTCCTGAAGGACCAATTCAACTGATCCCTGAATTTTGTTACCTGACAAGTTAAACTGATAAAATGAGGAGCAGTTTTACCTGATGAAAGAGAAAAGCAAATGGTAAAACTTAAAACTTAAACTATATCCACAAGGATGAAAATGTTCCGAAAGAACTACGTGACTGAGGAATTAATTTTAACACCAAACTTCTGCTATTTACTTGTCGAATTGCTCCTCCGGAGAAGACTTTGGAGGCTAGGGGCAGTATGCAGACTGGTCCAGAGAAATCAGAGGGCCTACTTTAATCTGTGTAAAACATTTAGAAAAATGTCTGATGATCTACACAAAACGGATTTATGATGCTTCTAATACTCTTGCCCAGAATCTTTTCAGAGTGTCACAACAAATGGGAATAAAAATGAATAAAGCAGTAATGGTGGAAGTTGATGACTGCCCTGATGTATGTCTGAAAGCTTTACAACAAAAGGTTACGTCTGATACACAAATGGTGGTTTGCATTTTGTCCACTAATCGCAAGAACAGATATGATGCCATAAAGAAATTTCTTTGCATTGACTTTTCCATTCCCAGCCAGTGTGTACTCGCTAAGACTTTGAACAAACCTCAAACTGTAGTTTCAGTTGCTACAAAAATTGCATTGCAGATGAATTGCAAAATGGGAGGTGAACTCTGGAGTGTAGAAATACCTCTGAAGGACCTGATGATAGTTGACATTGATTGCTACCATGACACATTATCTGGGAGGAGATCTATTGGAGGATTTGTTGCCAGTTTGAACCAATGCATGACTCGTTGGTTTTCTCGATGTGTTCTCCAGGATCAAAAGCAAGAGATTGTTGATGCTCTGAAGTTTTGCATGCAAGCTGCATTAAAAGCCTGGTATTCCCACAACAAAAATCTACCAGCTCGTATCATAATCTATGGGGATGGAGTAAGAGATGGTCTACTGAAACTTTGGTGGATTATGAAATAACACAGTTTCTGGATTGCATTAAGTCTGCCGGGAACGACTACAGCCCTAAACTAACTGTTATTGTGGTTAAGAAATGCATAAATGCACAATTCTTTGCACATGCTGGTGGCAAACTTAATAACCCGCTGCCTGGGACCATTGTTGATGTTGAAGTCACCAGACCTGAATGGTATGACGTCTTCGTACTCAGCCAGGCTGTGAGAGCAGGCACGGTTTCTCCAACTCATTATAATGTTGTATATGACAGTGGTGCTTTGAAACTGGATCACATGCAAAGGTTAACATACAAACTTTGTCACGTGTACTTCCAGTGGCCTGGAGTAATCAGAGTACCTGCTCCGTGTCAATATGCCCATAAACTTGCCTTCTTGGTTGGACAGAGTATTCACAGAGAAGCACATGTATCACTTTCTGAGAACCTCTACTATCTGTGAATTACACCAAGAATAAGTCATACACAGCATTCATGGACTGAAATGCATAAAACAGTACGTTAACCATATTTAAAAATATGTAATTAATTTTTTTTGCTTCCTGATCTTGATTGATTAGAGGAAAACTGATGTTGACTTGACACACCAGAAATTATTTTCCTACTTCTGTGCAAAACAAAAAGTTTTTTTTTTTTTTCATGAGACATTCCAAGCACCATACCAGTTCACTGAAGCGGTTGGGGTGCATTTGCACCCGCTCACCGTAATTAATCAAACTATTACAGAATGGTTTAACAACTTGCCCGGGGAACACCTGCTGCTGCCTCCCCTGCTGCATGAGGCTTCTGTTGACTCCACTGAGCCGGGTATGCAGGACTGGCTTATTGACTGAGAGCGTCAGCTGGTCGATCTCCTCCAGTGATCGCCACCCTGCACAGCTATGCTTTGCTCAGGGAAGGTGCTACTAGTTGAAAGGCAGGTGGCGGCAGGTGCCCGATGGAATTTAGGTAGGTTCTTGAACTGTTAAAATACTTACTATGGAAGAGTACTTCTGGCACCATAACAACTGCACACAAAGAAAATCTTTTTTTTTAGGCCAACCTGTACAAGATGGTACAGAAAATTAAAGACACTTTATTTCCCTCAAATGCATTGCTGCCAAGTATGAAGAACATCTATACTATATTTGATAAGTATTAATATTTACTTTTGTGCGCAGCTCTATTGAATTGGTTTGTTTGGTCACATTTTGGGAGGGGATAACTCCGAAGTGTTTTCTTATTTCTGCTGCTCACAAAATAAGTACAAGGAGCACCACTTCATATTCATCTTAGTTGCTAAATTAAGAAAGTCAGAATGTGTTGCAATAATTGTTTGCTTGTACTTAAATTTACAATAAAATTGGTTACATTAAAAAAATAAATAAAAAACATAACTGTGTGGTATATACACCCACCCCAGTCAAATGGTGAAGCGCTATAGGCTATGACACTTACCCCTAAAACAAAATGGATGTGTAGCCTTAAAAAAATAAACTCAAAAAAATAAAATTACATATAGGGCAATATGACCAATATTTTGTGTGAAGACACTTACATTTCACAGAGTCTAATAGGGAAAGGTTTAGATCTAAAAGGCAGACATGTACTTAGGCGACACTGTCCCTCTTCTTCTGTATCTTGTTAGGCATGTAAAGAAAAAATGAAGAAACACTTCTAGTGCAATACGCAAGTTCAAATAGAGGGAAGAATACAGAATATTGCAAACTGATCACCTTATATAGAGCCTATCGTACATGGCTCTAAGTATGCAGTGCTTGTGTCTATAAAGCGTACACAAACCCTTCTTTAAAAACTGGACTAAGTAATTGAATGGAGTCCACAGGAAGCATTTAAAATACTAGTATTTATTACAATATATATATAAAAAAATTTAAACAAATATTAAAACAAAATTAGAATCAAATAATGAATCATCCAGCAGTCCTCCTGAGATGCGTTTCTCCAGTAACCGGCTTTATCAATAGGTATCAAAATTATTTTGCCTTTCCACTGCTGCGAAATGCAAGAGAACCTGGCAGTATTCTCAGGAAAAGTGCCTGGTCCATGGTAGATCTACTATGCAGTCCCACTAAGAAGATCTATCTATCTCCCCACCCAAGGCACATCATTTTTTTTTCCCATTGGAATGTTTATTGATATTTTCAAAACAGGTGGAGGATACAGAAGAGAGAGAGGGAGGGGGAGAGGGTGATATTCACCAGCAAGTATTGTTATACAACGATAAACATAATCACATGTTGCAGCATGCCCGCTCGTACATATATCAAACTCCTGTACATTTGTGTGAGTGTCAAGACAAGAAACAACTCAGATAACACATCGGAACTGTACATTACAATTCATGCTCGGCTATCCCAGTCCCATCCCCAGGGTAATCTATCCCTCACACCCAGTCCCAGCAGTGAATGAACTAACCCTTAAATATAAAATGTATGTGGCTCGGTCAGACCTTGTGATGCATAATCCAGGGGTGGGGGGTGAGAATGGACAGAAAAAGAACAGGGTTAACAGTACCAGAGAGATGTCTTGCCCTTGTCTGCCCTTAACAAATCCAGTTTGGTTGTCTTTTATGAGCTGCGGGAGGAGCTTATTGAATCTGTTGGCTAGGATCTTAGCGTATATTTTGGCATCTGTGTTAGGGCAGAGATATTTACAGATGGTGGAAGGTTTGTCTGGTTTGGGGATTGTAACTACAGTGGCTAGAAGCATTTCTCAAGGCAGACTACCAGATTGTGAGGCTGAATGGAATATGGACAGCAAGTGGGGAGACAATATTCCTGCAATTTTTTATAGTATCCATTAGAAAACCATCCCCTCCTGGTGATTTACTTAGTGGGAGTTTACGGATAGTATCTAAGACTTCATTTATCGATATTGGTTGGAGCAGGGAGAGTGTGTGCTCCGAGGTAAGTTGAGGCAGGTGCACCCTCCCAAGGAAATCATCTATTTCCTGGGTAGTAGGGATGTGGACGATGGGTCCAGATCTCAGGTTATACAGCTTTGCGTAGAAGTCAGCGAATTCCTTGCTGATTGCCTGTGGGCCTGTTGTTTTCTTCCCGTCCTGTGCTACTCAGGAAGAAGCCATTTTGGCCCGTGATCTATTCAATGTTTTTTTTTTTTAAATTCAATATTCTTTATTATATATTTTATAGTTTAACATACATGTACATTCATAAAACAAGTGGACAAAACTGCATGCCGTTAGCAATATCCATACACTTAAGAGCTAGTAGATCCTATTGTCCTATACAAGGAACATTGTCTAGCATTAACATCTACACAGAACATAACAATCAATCATTGCCAAGTCACCAAGTAAGTTGCCAAAAATGTGCTGTTTAGAGAAGCTTAGTCTCTACTATTGCTTTGAGCAATGATCTATCATATCAGAAGAAAAAAAGAAAAAAAAAAAGGGTTGTTCGAATTACAGACTTTTCAATTTATTTATCCAGCTCTGAATATAAATGCTATTTAAATTGGATTTCTTATTAAGCCATTTAATCCCTCCTTCCATACTACACTGGAATAAAATTTGACTCTTCAATTCTATCCAGCTTATTGAGTCTTTTGATTTCCAGTGTTGCGCTAGAAGGAATTTTGCGGGCAACAAAAAATGGGTAGTCATCAGTGCAGTTATTGGGGATATATTTGGCCAATTTAGATGTAAAATTCCTATTTCTGTTTTTTCTTCTATTTGAAATCCCCCCCAGGATCTGAAGATTGTCAAATGTGATATCCCAGAGATTAGCCGCAATTTTACAACCCCACCACATATGAAGATAATCTCCACCCTGATTGTTGCATCTCCAACATTTATAATTAGGAGTAAACTTATTCACTGTAGCAGGATCCATTTACCAAAACATTTATCACTTTGTATTGGTTTTCAAGTATATTTACACAATGAATATCTCTATTATATTTCCTTGTAGCGTCTAGCCAATCTTCTCTATATCTATATGGAGTAACTTATCCCATTTCTTTATGTTCTTCTGGGCATCTCCTCGTTCAGTTAGGGATATTATTAGAAAGGCTTTTGACATGACTGTGGGTTTTGTTCACAAAATATATATATTTTTTTTTCAAATTTGTATTTTATTATATCTTCAATATGTGGTCAGGGGTACAGAAGGAAAAAGGGGTACGTTAGCGGGGGGATACAGTGTTACAGTATTTGACATAAACCCAAAATATATTTTTTTAAAGGCCTAATTTATGTTTGTCTCCCTTTACCATTACCTCCTGTAAGAAGCCCTTAAATCTTAAAAAGGTAAACATTTCCATAGTAGGTAGATTATATTCTAAATTCAGCTTGGAGATAGTTCTCAATTTCCCGTTGGTATAAAGGTAAGCCACTTGTTTTGCCCTATGGTTCTAGCGATAGGGGCACTATACAGAGCTTTTATTGCCCTGCAGAATTGATCTCCAAAGCCAAAACTTTCCAGACTCATCATCATAAACCCCCAGTCATCATCATAAACCCCCAACCATAATAAACCCCCATAACCCCCAGTCAAGCTTTCTCTGAGTCTAACGCAATAGTAACTAGTTCTTTGTGGGTTTTTTTAAGCTAAATCGAGAATATCAAATAATCTTCTAATGTTATGTATAGAGCTTCAACCGGGGACAAATCCTATTTGGTCCTTGGAGACAATTTGTGCAATGACATGCTTAAGTCTGCCCGCCATGATGGACACAAAGATCTTAGCATCAGTATTGAAAAGGGATATCGGCCTATAATTCTTGACATAAGCTGTTTTGAATATTTTTATTGTGTGCACAATATAAAGTCATACATCAAATTGATTTGTAACAAAGCAAGTGATTGCCCACGCAGGGGCGTAAGCATTGGTTTAACACTGCATATACATTTGGTTGCCAGCGTAGAGGCGGATTTGTCCTAGCCTGTGTTTTTTGTTCACAGTTGGTTGCTTTGTGTTTTATACTCTTATGTACTGTGTTGCCTTTTTAGTTCGGTTATAGCGTTAAGTAAGTGTTTTAAGTTAACCGGTGTGTGCCAGGGCTGCGTGTTTGCTAGTTGGTAAATGCAAATTGTCGCCTTTGCAGAGGCAAATTAATCAGCTTGCTAATTAGAGTCAGACATTAAGCAATAATCTAAGATACAAAAACTTTTTCAACTATCTGGTTAGCGCTCTAAACGTACGGTACATCTGTGCTTTAAACTTGGCTTTTAACTATTAAACATTAGGATGCACGTAGCTGATAGCCTTATTTGTGGTTAATATATTATGGCATATGTTTCTTGTCATTAATTAAGCGTTGATAGTTAGCGCGGTGTTAAGTAGCTATTAGCATTGCGACATTGCCCTATCAACTGCACATCAGGCATGCTGCGAAATATATGTACCAATATTAAAGAGTGTATCCTATGTACAGCTGCTTATGCACATGGAAACATTAGCGTGGTTAGCTCTAACA